TATATATTAGTGCTGGGCACGCGTTATTATCATGTTAACGCAGCAGGCAATTAAAGGCGATTTTTTTTTTTAACGCGCGTTAACGCAGTTTCTTTATATTTCTCTGTCTGATCTCTGTTCTCTGTGCACGCAAACCCAATGGTCGCTGCGGGGAGGTGGGATCTTTATCACTACTGGCTTTAGATAGTCTTCATCGCATGTCTCATCCAATGAGAGCCTTTGTTGCCAAGCATGCAGCCACTCACATGAACCCGAGCTGCAGCTGAGGAGGAAACATGCCTGAAGCTGCCGGATTTGTTCAGGGCATTTTTTTACCAGTAAAACCTTAAGAAGTAAAGTTATCTGTAAGCGCTGCAACGCTAAACTGTCTCACCACCAGAGCAGTTTGAGCCTGAAATATCACTTCAGTTTAAAGCTAGGGTAAACAGAGGGAGGTTTATATTCTTAAAGGTGAATAAGTAACAAGGCACAGGCAGTTACAAGGTATCCAGGGATAACTGCAGGATGAAAAGCAACTGTAGGTCAGAAAAAAAGACAAAAAGCACAACTTAGAGGTAAATAAAACACAAAATAGACAAAAGTTTTACATTGTAAAAGAAGGAAAGGCAGATAATAATTAAATCAAGGTGCAAAATGCACAACTAAAGTGGTTCACATAAAAAAATATTTAAAAATCAGACAAAAGATAAAACTCCTCAAAACCTGGTACAGCGTTTAGGAAAATTGAGCAATCCATTTTGGTCTTGGCCCCCCTTGAGGGAGCTATTAGCATGTCAATCTGCTCAAAAATTAAGCAGATTTCTTCTAAAGTTGTTCAGTCAACAAGCAAGTCATTTTTGTTCATAAGTTTTAACCCTGTTTTCACCTCATTTAAAAAAAATATTACTTTTAACACCATCTAATTTGAGAAAATAAAACAACATTAGAACGCCCAAAAACTTAAAATATTTTGGTGCTTATTTCTTTCTTTCCTAGATCTGTGTATAGACTTATCAGTATATTTTGGCCCTTCTTTCAATCTCATTGATTATTATTTTTTCATGAACTTAAAAATACTTGCAGTATTCTAATATGTAAAGTATAGATTTCAGTCTACCATATACTGATGACATGGGAATTACATTTAAGTTTTATTTACWGGACTATTTTTATTTGTTTATTTGTTTAACCTTTTACGCACAAKAAGTTCTAGAGATTCTTATGTTTACCTGATCAGTTATGTTTATTTTCAGCTTAGTTTTTCCCCTCAATTTAGGTCTTGGTCTGTGTTCTTTTTTCTTTTTTCTTTTTGTTAGGTTTGTTTTGTTGTACTTGTGTGTTTGAATTGCATGTGTTAATTTCTGTTTAGTCCCTCATTGTTTATTGTGTCATCTCTCATTGACCCTCACCTTCGAATTGGGACAGCCTACAGCGTAAGGCGGTGGCGTAAACACCCGACAAATGTGCCGCACATCAATTGCAACCCCTGAATTGAGACACWGCCAGCTTACASTGMGCTTGCCATGCCAACTTCACCTGTTCCTCTTTCCTCATTAACCTCAGCTGTGGTCAATCTCCCACTCACTTTCTTCCCACCTTCACATTATCCATCTATCCATCCATCCATCCATCCAAYATCTATACCCGCTTCTTCCTTTTAGGGTCACGGGGGTCACTGGTCCCYATATCCAGCAGTCACTGTGCGAGGAGCAGCACCTTCACATCAGTTCTGCAGTATTGGCTAAATGGTACACTGACTTTCATGTATGTGTTTGATGCCACATCAGCCCTTTACTTTGTTAAAGTACTTTTTTTGGTTTTTAAATCACCTTGTGTCAGTCTGCACAATTGATCCTCCTCCTATTACTGAAACATCTGGCACAGATCTTTGTTAGGAAGCTAAAATTGTTTGACTTAGTTTCATTAGAGACAGAAAAAAAAGTAACTTTTGCAATTTAAGATACATCTAGGCTGTCTTCTCTGTGAACAGTTTGGCATCACAAAACCTTGTGACCTTTGAATGTTCAGTTGACCAAATATGCAAGAAGCCAGTCGGTTACAAAAACCTTTTGGCCGATAGTGTTTCATTGAACAGCAGTATATTGGCCTCACCAGGGAGATTAAAGTTAATTAGCAGTATTAGACTTTGATCCAGCAGGGAGAATCCAACCTGCTCTCCTCTCTGCACTTAATAAATAAATCCACAATATAACTTKTTTTTAAAGAAGTGACATTGCACTWCAGTCTTAAGATTAAAAACAAGCCACATAACTACAAYATTTCTTTGTTATTTTGTTCCCTTTGTACAATACAGTGAAATCTGGAGAGTAAACAA